CGTATCGGCCCGTGGAGAGTGTATGGACGCGTTTCTGCAGAGGCGTCGAAGGGTCTGTAGGCGCCTCGGGGAGCTGGGCGTGGCAACAGTTGAAGGGAGTGTGCGGGAAGGAGGTCTACAGAGTTGCTCTCATACGTGTCGCTATCCACGACGACGGCAGGCGAGGAATCGTCGTCGGGGCCCGTCCGTCTGCTCCATGCTTTCGATGCGTCGGCGCCTCCTCCACCATAAAGGTCTTCCGCTTGCGGCTTCTCCAGCAGTGAAGGTCGGCGCACACGGTGCACAGCGACGACATCCACGCGGGACGCCCTCTGCCTTTTCTCCTCGTCGTCGCACAACACAGCCACTACGAAGTCGCCCGTTTCTTCGCTGTCCTCATCGTCTTGGATTTCTTCAATGTCGTCGTCGATCATCATTGTGGATCTTGTCGCTCTCCTTCTCGCCGCGGATCTGTATCGCCCCTTCGGAGGTCCGGCATCCTTTAGTCACGAAGATCTTCTTCTCGCAGCAGAGCAGTGTCCGCAGGGTTCATCTCCTTCTCGTCTGGGACTTCTTCAGTGTCGTTGTCGATCATCGTTGTGGATCTTGTCGCTCTCCTTCTCGCCGCGGATCCTTCTCGCCGCGGATCCGTATCGCCCCTTTGGAGGTCCGGCGTCGCTTAGTCGCGAAGATCTTCTTGTCGCCGCCGAGAAGTGTCCGCAGGGTTCATCTCCTTCTCGCGTTCGCGTCGACGTGGAGGTAGTGTGTGTGGCGAAAGGGGACCCCTTTGTCTTTGTCGCCGCGGATCTCTCTCGCCACTTGGGGGTTCGCCGTCGTCTGTGTCGTCTTCTTCTCGTCGCGAACCAGTCTAGCCAGTGTCGCCCCAACACTTGGGAACACGTGAACGCATTGCTCCCCATGGCGGCAAACGCGCTTGTTCGTCGTCGGTGCGAACGCAGGCGTAGCCACAGACGGCCATTGACGGAGGCGGGAAGCATGTCTGCGCGAGGCGGCGCCTGTGGGAAGAAGCGGGAAACATCCCCGCGGACAATCAGGGGCGGGAAAGGGGTCGGCGGCATGTCCCCAAGGCGAAGAGGCTCCGTTCGGAAGAAGCATCAGCAAGCCTGCCTCTTCGGCGAGGGCGAAGTTGGACGCTAACCAACGTAGAGGAAGATGACGACGTCTTTACGACGGAGGAGGAAGCAGCAGAGGACAACGTGCTGGCACCTCGGGGAAGCAGTCTTCAAAGCTCATCTGATCAGAGCGGTGCAAGAAGATTGGTGACGCCCCCTCCGGAGGCGCAACAAGTGAGTGCGCACAACACCCAGAAGGCGAAGGAGGTTGTCGTCGACGTCGGCGGTGAGGACGACGAGCCCTTGGAAAGCCGTAGGCAGCGCAATGTCACACAAGGTGCCACGGCGACGGCAGTCAGCATACGCGCCGCGACTGAAGAAAGGCCACCTCAAGGTGACTTGCCCTCCACGCCGTCCCAGCCGCGTCCGCGCAACACGGCTGCAGAGGGGGGCTCCATGGAACGCGGGGGAGGGGAGGGGGCCCTGCAAGAAGCGTGCGTGGCGAGTGGGGGGGCGATCACTGCTGCAGCCGCGGGGTCTTCGGGCAATGATGGTGTCGTGGCGAGGGCGAGAGAGGAGGTCCCAGTTGTGGAGCGGGAGGCGATGCGCAGCGACAACAAGGGTGAAAGGGAGAATGAAGATCCCCTTCTAAACCGGGTTCGGAGGGGAGGGATGGCGAGAGATCTGGCCGACCGTGCCCGCCTGTGGGTCGATGACAAAGCATTCTGGACGACGGGGGAGGGGCGAAGACTGCACAACATCGTCCACGAATCGCTGGAGTACTTTGTCGCCATCGCCAGCGGGCTGCAAACGCCCGTCATGCCCAGGAGCGTCATCATGCCGAAATCGTCGACGACCCTCATAAGGATTGCAGATCCCGCACAACTGCAGCAGGTGATCGCCCGCGTGACAGCAGCGGAGAATATTGCTCTACGCGTTTTGCATGGATGGGTCTTCAAGTCTGGGAACCGTCCCCGAGGATTCAATGTCGCTTTCCAGTACGTGTTGGAGTTGGTGGCGACGGACATTGCACGCGTCATGTGGTACGGCAAGGAGTGGAGCAATGTCGTTAGCGCGGTCGTTCACGTGCACACAATCGACCTGAACATGGACTTGCCATTGTGGTTTGCAGGCGCGAACATCGAGGACAGGCTGGAGGATGACGACATGACGGCGCACCAGGAGGCGACCGTTATATGCATCACGCATGCATTTCGCGCCGCGGTGCAAATGGGTGGCATCGTCGACGGCGGGTTCATCTCGCACAATCGTCTGTCTAGAATTGCGGATTGCTTTAGACTTTTGTTGGCTGCCTGCATGTGGTTGATGTGCATGGAGGGAGACAATCCGCGCAGCCACTACCAAGCCTTTTACTTCGCGAAGCTGGTCGCTAAGCCCACGCTCGTCGCGTCCATGCATCGCGCCTTCGATCATCGACGGTCCGTCATCCGAGCCACGAACGTCGTCACGGAGAGACTAGGGAAGGCGAACGCCACATTCGGAGAGTAGCCAAAGTACATCCCCGACTTGGCTTCTTGTGGCATCGTCTTCGGGCACGATGCGACCATAACGGGGCCAGAGGACGCGAAGAGAAGGGATTGGTTGGGTTCGGCCCCCTTGGAGGACGACGACGACGACGATGGAAAAGAGGACGCGTAGGGGGGAGGTTGGGTGGGAGAGGTTGTTGTTGGCGCTTACATGTGCAGCGCGGGAGAGGGTACGCTAACGGGTCTCGTGATCCGGCGTGGGTAAGGGAAGTGGAGAGGGGGGGGCGCTTGGTGGCTTCGGAGACGCAGGTTTGGTGGCGCCGCATTACGATAACGGATTGTTGATGGCCTCTCCCTTCGTTCCGCACATGTACACCGTGTCGCTCGTGCATGCTGGCGCCCGACTTTTTCGGTCGTCCAGTTTGGCAGGGTGCGTGATGTAACTGCGGTCGTGGTTGCTTGTGGATGTGGATTGTGTTTGGCTGCCGATGTTGGAGAAGCGACGGTAAACGACACTCCCTTCAGCAGATTGTAGGAGCGGAGTAGGTTTGTGCGATGTTCTTTTGTGTTGTTGTCGGCGCAGCTTGTGGTGAGACAAGTTGATTGCGCTTGGAGCGCACCTTTTTTTGATTATTATTTCAATTCAGAAGGAGATTTCGTCAGTTTTAAGATCATGTCTGATAACTCATCACACACCTGAACGGTCCTTGCCTTTTTGGATGCACATTCAGACGTCTCTTCTCCATTTGCATGTGCCATTGTCGGTCGTTGCTTTGTTTGGTTTGTATTTCTTTTTTTCCTCCCCCACTTACTCCGAATGACGAACAAAACATGTGTTTGTGTTCAAATCTAACACTCGCATGAAGACAATGCGCAGCGCATCAAACAACATGAGATGTCCCACAAAACATATTGTGAACATGCAATGGCACACTGCATCAACGCAAAGAAATAGCAACACACAATATCGACGCAATGAGATACGTACACACACACACCGCCAACACGTAATGGAAATGGACGATACAGACTTAGAAAGGGATTTGCGATGTCGTTAAACAATTCATAGCGGAGAGTTCAAAATCGAAGGGAGGTGGGGGAGAAGTTCCAGGCCCACCCGAATGACCAACAGTGCTCTATCCTATGTGCCCAAAATCGTCGCACTTCACACCCGCAGTGCGCCGTGTCTGCATTGCACAACTTCAACGACAACAACTAAAATCAACAAAACGGACGGCGACGCACGTCCGCGAATCGCGACGGCAACCAAAGACGACCCTCGACGCAAACTACCAACCCGACGCAGGACAGAAGCTAGCAACCCAATCAAGGCTGGACGAAACAACTGATCTGCCCTCCGGCCATTGCTGCAATGAACGCGCTTCCACGCGCGGCCGTCCACCATGGGAACACGACCCTCCACGCAAACCACCAACCCTGACGGGGTACAGACGATAGCGACCCAATGAAGGCAGGACGGAACAAGGAATCTGCCCTCCGCCCATTGCTGCAATGAATGCACTTCCACGCGCTGCTGTCCACAAATGAAACACGACTCAATCGTGTTTCAATCGTTCCGCCAAAGCATCCCTCAGCGCTAACGCTTCGTCTGTCGACATCATCATCAGCACAGGCTGGAGCGGCTCTTCGATCCCCGGGTCCCCACATCGTCGCACACCATTGGCGTCGACCTCCCATAGCAGATTCTCGTCGAAGGGGGTTCCTGCGTCGATCAGCATGTTGTGCAGTATGCACACGGCGGTGAAGTGCTGCGGGAGCATCTCCAGGTTTGTCTTGTGTGTCCGCAGAAACAGCCGCCACATGCCCTTCAGCCTGCCGAACGCCCTCTCCACTGCTCCCCTCGCCACCTTCTGTTTGTTGTCAAACCGCTCCTCATCGACGTGCTGATTGATGCCTCCATACGGGACGACCATCCATTCAGAAGGGGGGTACCCATTGTCCGCCAGAACGTACCCGTTCGTCTTCACACCGAACGGCAGTGTCACGGGGGGACCACGGAACAACGACCCCTCCTCTGCGAGCAGCGACAGGCTGGACAACTGCAGCACCCTGATGTCGTGGCAGCTACCTGGGTATCCCATATGCACGTCGAGCACACGCAAGTCCATGTCGATGACAACCTGCGCGACGATGGAGAAACGCCGCTTCCTGTCGTAGTAGTTTTCGCTCGGAGCGTTCGCCGGCTTGTCGACGTAGACGTGAGTACAATCAATGCAATCGTGGCAGTTGGGGAACCCTTTATCAGCAAACGCCCGCAGAACGACGAGTTTACGAAGTCCTGTCGGCCACGCGATCTTCTCTCAGCAGCGTGGCCGTAACGTCGCGGACGGCAATCAGCCCAGAAGCTCGTCCAATCCCGACGTTGCACGTGCTGCTCTCGTACGTCTCTCCTGAAGCCCACCTATACAGCGGGTACGCCACAATCTGGTCCGACTGCAAAGGCTCCCTGTAGAACGTGACCCGCCGCTGAAGATGAGGCGCACACGCCTCCGCGATTTCCCTGAACACTCGCGGCGACATTCGAAGCTTATCCCGGAAGTAGTCCTCTTTCGCATCGTCCCATTGCTTGAGGTCTTCCCACGTGCCTCCTGTCCTGCGCTTCACCCACCACCACGGCGTCGCACGTGGTATCACTCCGCAACACAACGTGTAGCACAACTCAACAACAGCCTCCGACGTTGTCACGTATTCGGCCCCATCGCACGGATCTTGCGTCAATTTCCTCCGTCTACGCGCGTGCAACTGCTCCTTCAGTCGCCCCAGCGCCCTCTCCTGCAGACATCGAAGAACGATCGTGGACACGGTCGTCGCCACGGCCTGCAGCTCACGATGAGTCAACGCATCATGTCTACCCTCTGCGCCGCCCTCCATAGCCGCGACGTGGAAACTGTCCCGTCGTTTCGCTGCCGTCTGTGTCGTACTTCCGCACGCGACGAAGAAGTCGAAGACGTCCGTCGAAAGGCGGCCCCTTTTCTCTGCTTACAGTCTCGCAAAGGTCCACCGCGATGGAAGCACCACAGGCTGCCCGCGCAGTCGCAACCGCCTGGGGACGGAACCTCCGCCGCTGCTGAGGCCCTTTCCGCAGCACGCCACCCTCGCGCCGCCAGGCACACGTCGTCGTCGTCGTCGCAACAGTCGTTCGAATTTTGAATTTCAAATGCCTACGCCCTTGGGGTTAAATTTCTTTTCGCGTCGCCCGCCGTCTGCCGTTTCCCGCCTCGCGTCGCTGGACCACGCCACCTCCACACGCACAAAAGAAGCTGGACCAAGGATGTCCGACTCCGCGGCCGCTAATTTACGTATGAAAATGGCCGCGGGGAAGCCACAAGGAAACATCCTCGGGGGACGTCCCCAAGGATGAGTGGAACGACGCCGCAAATTCCCCTAAAAATCCACAAGGATGTTTCCTTGTGGCTCACGGAAACCGTAAGGAGTGTCTAACGAGGCCCATTTCCAGTTCGACTGAGATAAAACCTTGACCATTCTGCATTTGTCTCACACATGTGGCCAGATGCATTATCGTGCATGTGAACCATAGGGGCATGTTGATGCAGTATGGGCCTCGTTAGACACTCCTAAGTGTGTCCTTGGCCTCGAGGACGAATTCCTCGAAACGTTTTAGCATTTTTGCGGTCATTGTTCCACTCATCCTCGGGGAAACGGCTCCAACGACGAATCCTAAACGCTCTGCCGTGGTCATTTTCATATGAATACATGAGGCCGTGGGCTGGATGTCCGTCATCGTGAGGAGATGTCCATCCCTATTCAGGCCTGGCACATCGGTTGCAGCGGCGAGGCGCTCAAGGCTGTGAAAAAAAAAAAAGGCAGCAAATGACCCGTTTCAAATTCAAATTTCCAAACTGCAGCAGTGCAGTCCTCTGTCCTGCACGGAAGGGCGTCCCTGGACTCCATAACGTAAATGCGGTCCCTTGCGTCACGCAGGCATCAGAATCGTCCTCATCACATGGCTGGCGCACACACGGCGACGGTGGCGGGTGCTTGGTGGTGTCCACACACGACTGTAGCGCAGGAACTGATTTAGCCACAACGACGATCTTCAGGTCTGCTTGGTGTTGGGCTGCCTTCGTTGGCGTGGTTGAAACGATCGTCGTTGCGACGGTGAAGGGTGATAACCAGAATGCGTCGAGGGCATTGTCCATGGATAAGCTGAATGGAGTGGCGGCGGCAGCGTCCGCGGTCGTCATTCGGTGTCACACGGAGAGAGTGTACAGCATCATGTCCTTGAAGCTCTCCATGCACAAGCGAAGGATGCTCATGCAGCAGATCATGGACAACCTAGACTGCATCACCAGTGCAACCGTCACAATGCAAATGTGCACCCTGCTTTCGCCTGGTGTGTTTCCACAGGCGACTTCGCGATGGTGGATGAAACGCAGGACAAGAGGTAAGTGGGAGTCTCGGAGGATCTTTGAATCATTGATGACGCGACCAACGAGTACTACAAGAAGAAGCTGCCCATGAAGTGGAGTCTTTTGAGAGATCGCAGAGGCACTCCGCATTTGGAGCGCAGGGTGACATTCTGCTGGGTGCCGTTGACATCGGAACACATCGTCGTGTGCGCTCTTTACCGGTGGGCCAGCAGCGAAATGTAAGAGAGCAGCACATCTTTGTTCGGCATTGATCGAGCAACGGCTCTGGTCGCTGTTGAGGACGTCACTAGGGCGCTGTTAACATCTACTGGGAGAAGATCTCGTGGCCGTGAGGAGCGAGGACGGAGGTCATACTGCGTGCATTCGAGGAGAAGGAACACGTTATTCGTTAAGATAAGATATTATATTGTGTCCTCTTCCAAACGAATTCATTTTTGGCTGCAGCCTAAGCAACGTAGGGATGCCCATCCTCTCCCCCGAGATGGTTTTTTGGATGTTTGATGAGATGAATTTATTTGGAAGTGTAATTATAGGCACACCCATCCACTCGCCCGAGATGCAGAAGTGTGTTGAGATCCATACTTGTTTATAATTGTGATAATCAAGGTACCATGCCCATCCTCTCGCCCGAGATGGTTGTTTAGATGTTTGATGAGATCCAGACTGCTTTAGAAGTGCAATGATAGGCACGCCCATCCTCTCGCCCGATATGCTGAAGTGTGTTGAGATCCATACTGGTTTACAATTTTAATGAACAAGGTGTCATGATTGTATCCTTGTTGGATATGTTTGTCTAGGTTATTCTTAAGAAGCACAGGCATGCCCATCCTCTTGCCCAATACGGTTTTGTGGATGTTTGATGAGATCCGGACTTGTTTAGAACTGTAATGATAGGCAAACCCATCCTCTCACCCGAGACGGTTGTTTGGATGTGAGATGGAATTCATACTTATAATTGTGATGAGCAATGTGTCATTGTATCCTTGTTGGATATATTATAATTCACTTTGTGTCATCATCTTAAGTACAGTAACAGTAAGAATGACTGTTAAAATATAACTTAAAAATGTTTATCGACAATATGGACAGTCAGATATGTGTTGGGTGTAGATGGCTACTGGTTTGACTGGAAATAATTTCACCTTGTAACAATCAATTAATTTTGACATACATCCTTGCTTGTGACAAGACCCGTCATATTACACAAGAACTTGGAATTCTGTATATTTTCGATAAAATTGACACTTTAATTTGTCACGCATAAAAGTTTCAGTTATGAACGCAAAGTTGTTGGTTACATGTAATGCAGGCAGTCACAAGGCATCTAAATGGATGCACACGCAAGAGACGTTAAGTTAGTGATCTTTGCATAATGAACCGCACACTTCGATACTTGCCAAGTTTTGCCTTGCATCCACACACCACTTTGTCGTATCACACGACAAGTTCGGATATTATCTGATGTCAATCATATGTGCAATTTAGGTTATCGTGCAAAAAATTCAAAATATGGAACAAATTTCAACGAAATGCAAACTAGTTTCACTGAATGAAAAACGATAGGTTTATGACAGAGATCACAAAGTCTACACATGACACAAGATAGGTAGTGAGCATGCGAAAGAGAACTTAAAATCGTAACAATAAAAGAAAGCAATGTCGTTGTCAAAACGACAGTTGAACAATGTCATGTATCATAAAATTTAATCATTAATTAATAGAATACATTCAAAAGAAAGTTTGGAAGTCCCACACCACCATCAAAGTAGATGACCTTCCAGGATATAGGTTGTCAATTGTCGTCTAATAAGCGGGATATCATTATGAGAGAACGTGAAAGGTGGTCGATCACCACGTTGCAACAGCGTCACAAACATCTATATGAACACCTCCCAACTTGTTTCATCCACTTGTCTTGGAACTCCTTCCACCACACCAGTCGTCGCGCTCGACTTCCAACTCCAACCCGACCGGATATGTAATGTTTCATCTTCTAAATACTGTACAATCAAATCGAAAAGACTAAGGTAAAAATCCCTACCAGCTACAATGCGATGAAAAAAATCGAAAATTTCTAAGACATTGTCTCTTAAGTTGACAGAGAGGAGGATCCAGTGATCATTATCTTTGTGGACAGGCACAACGATAATATCATATTGAAGTAGATCTACGTTTTTTGCTCACCTTTTCACCCCATTGTGTCCTTGAAGTGACTACTTACTAAAGAAGAACGAATTGAAGCTGAAGACATGAAGGTCTGATGACATGTCACGTATCGCACATGTGGTCGACCTCAAAAGCGTCATGTAAAAATTAATCACTTCATTATTCACCCTACCATCGATATGCAAAAGGAGGAGGGGATTTTTCGCTGTAATTCGCAAGTGATTATCAGCGAGGTTAGACAGAACTGTGAGAGGAGACACCTAACCTCGTATAATGTCGTCTTGAACCCGCAAGTGTTGAGGCGCAGTTGTCGAGGTGAAGCTTCCCCCACGTGCTCCACGTGCTGTGATGCGCACTCCACAACACCGAGCAACGCACACGCAGGGCAGTATGAAACGGGGTTCTAAGGATTGTCCTTCACAACACGACGCATTCAATTTGCTAAGTATTTCTTATACATGGTCTGAACCCTAGTCACTGATCGTGAATATTTCCCCTTCTCCGGAAGCAGAAGGGAAAGACACTGCTCAATGGCTATGTCATGCTCCTTCTTTCTGATCTCGACATGAACCCCTGATGCCTTTAACATATCCTTGTTTTTTGTCGTCAACCCCGAGACTTTCTGCAATATGTGTGCCGAGTATCTCGAGTACCTCTCTTTGCGAAGTGATCAAACCCCTATAAAACTTGAACAGAAGAAAGAGAAATAAAAACGAATATACGTTTCCCAACACGAGTCCGACGGAAGTGACAATGTAAAGGAATGACACAACCTACAAGACGCAGGTCCTCTCCAAATATTGAGCACAAACTTCGCATGGCACTGAGTACCGAGGAGCGTTGTCGGCGCGAATACCCTTACAAGGGTATTCGCCCTGGGTTTTTGCAAGTGGCAGAAATTAAGTCTGGATTAAAGTCTAAGTATACCGCGTGAGGCGCGGCTGCGTTCGTGGTCAAGGTTGACAGGATGGTTGATTAGGATAAAGAGTGTGTGGGCGCGCAGATTTGAGGCGCGCGTGATCCTTTCGTTTGTTGATGGTTGAAGAGTCGGCGTGATCGCCGACCAAAATTTCTATTGCTGATTAAGTTATGATTATAAAAATTATGTCTCGTTGATTGATGTGCTTGCCTGTGACCTGTGCGTACGTGCGGAGGATGGCATCAACAACAATGTGACTTCTCAAGGCATTTCAGTAGCTTTGCGCGTCGCACAGTGTCCGCTTATTTAGGCGTCCGCCGGAGATAGACCCAGACTTGGGCCTAGCATTATTGGTTACGGTGTCGGACTTCTATCTGTGAGATTCGAGGATCGAGGTCGAGCGGCGGCGAACCGCGGTTATTAAAGTAGTACAAGGAAGGCTGAGGGATTAAGGACCCAGCGGGGCTGGGTTTGCCGATGGCGACATCG